TTTATAATGTGTCGAGTAAGTTCGGTTTGCGGTGACAATAAACTTTTATTTGACAAAACTATGCCATTACATGTCATCAGTGCTTTAATGTGGAATTTTTTTAAAAAAGACAATTTTTTTGATATGTTTCGTGCACAAAATCTGGTTGTTACTTGTTTGTTTAAACACCCATAGAGCAGCAGCGTTCTTGATATTTTGGGTTACGAAGTCAGTATACCGTAATGGTGCGTTTTGTTTGCTTTTTACTTTTCTGCATGCTTTTTAAATGAATAAATTTGACTACAAGACTTCCTTCGGGGCTTTAAATCCACACCGGAGACTTGGCCTAAGCAGCCCCAGTATGCCTCGGTGAGCTTAAATTTATTTTAAAACCATTCCTCCCATCAAAGTTGGCTCGTGGTCCTGACTGCTCTTGCCATGGCCGCATAAAGATATTAAGTTTATCCATAGCAGAAACTAGAACCAAAATTCTGGAACTTCATAATTAGAGAAGTGTTGAACTGAGGTCTCCCTTATGGTGGTGTCCTTGCATACTATTCATAATTTTTCATTCAAATAAGGGGTGGTCCCGTATTTGCGGCACTTTATTTCAGAATTATTTGCTCTCGAGTCAGTTATCCCATTCGGCATCTTTTGTGCTTTGATTTATCAGTGCATTTTTACATCAAATGAATGAATCTCGTTTTGTCCTGTCTGGATCTCAGTGGTTAGCACCAATACGTTCCTTTACTTTCCAAAAAAGTAACTGAGGATGTGAAATAAAATGGTTTAAATCCTGTTTATCCCATCATGTTATTTGTTTGCCAGCGGGAATCACCTGTAGAATAATATTCCCCCTTGTTGTAGTGGTGGTAATTAAAAGCTTTATCTACGGCAGTTGATGGATGGATGATGCTCCCCCATTCCATAGGGACGTGCGTTTCGTGTTCTGCTTGTCTTCTGTGAAAGTGCTTGAATGACGTGGGTGCTTAATCGTACTTCATTTCAAGAGGTTTAAGTGTGATCATTATGCTCCCATTGCCTACGCACCGTTCGTGTACACGAGTGTCTAATTCAGATGTGTTACGCGTCATTTCTCATGCATCATTAGTTTAGTAGCTGGGATATTTTTCAGGACCTAGTCAGTCTCGATTAATTTCTCTCGTCTTGACAACAGATAGACCCTGAGGTGAGTCGGCTGCTCAATCCCGAAGAGAACCGGCGTCTTCGGGACTATCTCCGTCCCTACCGTGTGCCACGAGCCTTTTTCGTGCTACAACTCTACAAGCCCAACTGTCATGGGGGCTGGCAACGCTGTCACACAGGAGTTGCTACCATAGAGCGGGACGATCGTGAGCACTTATATTACATCCGCCTTTACGACCTGGTGAGGATGTCGCAACTCTTCGAACAACGCATCTTCATAGAGATGGGCTACATCGCACACACAGACAAATTTGCCATCCTCCAAGGCGACGACTGTGCCCTTGGTTTGGCCTTTGTGTCTCCCGAGGAGGCGACAGTTTTCAATCGTGTCCTCACGCGTGTTATTGGCAAATTCATGAACCGCATGAATGATGTCGCGGTGGCGTCGACTAATGGCTTAGGAGCTCCCAACCTGCCTCAGTCGAATTTGAGGCCCGTCAATAATTCAGCTGCTGCTACGCCATCATCCATTTCGCACACCTCGAGGCTAAGGGACAATTTTAGAAGTCTTCGAAAGAAGGTAGGCCTCATGTTTCTCCTTAGCATCCCCTACCACGATTCACTCATGTTCATTGACGTGGTGTGCAAAACAAAAAGAAATAGATGAAAGTGCAGGTTAGAATGGAATAGGATAAGGGTATTCGGTGTCACATGGGGAAATGAAGGCCTGTGCGATTGAGCCTTCCAGCAAACTTATTAGCTTAGAATACACCATAGTGGGTATGTGAAATTCCTCCTTCCCCCGCCCGCCGCTTTGTGCCGAGTGTAGTGAATGCCTTCATTTTCCCATGTCTTGTTTATGTAGTGTTATAAGCTAGGCTGTTGTGAGTTGAGTCTGCGTGACTGAATTACCATGTGCTTTCTGTAGTATCAGGAACAATCCACTGAGGTCGCGTCTCTTCGCATTAGTCAAACTGCTTCATGCTGGGAGATAGGATGCGGTGCTTACCAGCATCTGCAAAAGGTCCAGTGGTTTCCCGTTTATCAGCGTTACCTCGCTTTCATACTTTTCAGCTTCTCTCACTCTGCCCACTTTTGTTTGCCAGTTATTCTTATTACTTCAAATCGGCGTCTCTTGAGTTTTGAGGTTGAAATTGTGGACACTATCCTGTTCTACAGATAAAAGGTTTAATTTGATGCGTTAAAGTTGTCGGCCCAAAGAGGTCAGGTCGAAACGCATTGAAGTAGTAGTTCAAATAAAGCACGCTTCAGTGAAGTAGATCCCATGAGTTGGACTAATTGTGTTTGAAGTACCGCAACTGTAGATATAATCGTATATTTATGGTAATGGGAGTAATAGTTCATGCTAAGATTGTGAATATGCCTACATTCATAACGGTACAATTTATGCCCTCTGCAATTTGAGATGATCCCTTGAGAAGGAGATTTGCGTGTAAATGTAAATTCATTGTGTGCTTTGATCCAAGACATCGTCTGTGAACAAACCACGAATAGATTTGGTTTTTAAATTTGCCATGAATTTGCTCTTAGTTCTCGTGCACTTAAGTGCCTCCTTCAACCGTGCGCTAGACGCTTTGTTAACAATAATTGGTCGCATGCATTCTGGGGTCATGCCAGCATTTGACCTAACTAACCCCTATAGCCAAGTAAGTGTTCATGCATCTACAATTTTTTCAGACCCCTAACACGCACAATGCAACTGATCATATTTATTTGCATGGCATTTGCTCCACCTCTTTTCACCATCCATTCAGATCTAGCAGTCTGAGAGCGGATAGCATCCTCGTTGCTAGAAACGGTCGGTCAGGTTTTTACCTTTTCTATCATCATCCGACGCGATTGCAATCACACACCTCACTGAAGCTTGTACATGGAATGTTTCTTATACAGTCCAGGAACCGACTTTTTGCTGTTAAATGGAATCGTTTGTGTGAAAACGACGGCTCAACTTTGACATAGTAGATGCGTGTATTTGTTTCTCTGTTTGTGTGTATGTGCCATGCCCTTGATTATGCATGCGTTGGGGGGTGCAGGTGGGTGCTCCAGAGATACATATAGGGGCTTAGTTTGGGATTGGTGTTTTCGTGCGGACATGTGTTTGTTTAGTGTGTGCGTGGGTGTGTGTGTGTGTAGTTCAAAGCCAATGGAAGCATCCGTGTTTGCTGGATAAAGACATGCAATCTGCCGCCTTTTTCTCACCCACATAAGCCACTATGTTGCGTCGAAATCAGGTAGTTTAAAAGTCACTTGCCTACTTTGTTTTCTTAGACAAAATCAAACAAGTCAGACCTCATCAGCAATCCTTTCGGTTTCCAACATGTTCAACACCTGGGCTTCAACAAGGAGTCGCAACAATTTGATGCTGTTGGTATGGAGGACGACCTCTTTCGAGCCTTCCTGGATTTGGGTGGGCTCAGAGAACAGGTGAAAACGGATGCCGATAAGGAGTTCGCGCTGAACTACATCAAGGAGACTCTTGGCATGGAGGAGGTGGGTGACTCATTTTAATGGAGTTTAAGTCTGAAACATCCACGTCAGCCACATGCTCTATTTTGAACATAGAAATTGCTCGAGTCTACACACTAAGCATTATTTCAACAAGTGTGGATTAGTTAAAGTGGTCTCCGCAGTCAGTTTTGATTTTAATCAGAGTCCCACTCTATAAATGTGGAATTGTTTTGGCACTGATGCGATCCGTTTTAGCATTCATTTTTAGGGGTGTTAAAGTAAGTATTCTGGTTCATGTTATTTAGTTTTCTGCGCAAGTGTTGCAGAAGACCATATTGCCCGGTGAAAACTCAACCGGATACCACTTGGAAAAGTCGGTATCGTTTGTAAAGGAGAATGGGAAAGAAGGAGTGCGTGGCTCTCTTTGATTTAATTTGTGCGTAACCGGTGCTTAGCTATTGTAATTCCACTCAAGGCAATTGCTCATCTGCAAGAGTATCACAATTGCAACATCTTGGCTTGTTAAGCTAAGCCTAGTGTCACAAATGTGAGTCGGGGTGTCTCCAGCACTTAGCAATAACAGGTTTCACAACATCGTGTGCCGCAAACGGATCTGTGGAGTTAAAAGCAATAAATGGGTTGTGGAATGTTCCTGGTCTGTGGATGATTGGTGACTGATGAGAAGTGCATCGAAGACAATAAAACGCTTTTAACGCTGGTGAACTTTGACTGTCGTCTTGATGGTTGAGGTAGACTTTGTTTTTGTTTGCGCATACTCAGTTTTATCTGGAAAGGGTTTACATCGGTGTTTTGGCACTTCATTGAGCTGCTGTGGTTTCCGAGTGGATAAAACACTCCTTTCTCTTGAGTGAGCTTCGTAAGAGCGAATTTGTCGTGGTGTCTGTGTCGTATATGTGGAAATTCTTTTAGAATGAAAATGCACTGGGTTTTGTCCAAGGTATTTTAATTTCGCATTTGAGTTGTAAAAGTCTCATGCCATAAGCTGATTTTATTTCCCTCAAGAAATTGATAAAAACTTATCAGATTAGATGTACTCAGTTTGGAAGAAATGCCATCTCTTTGCTTCAGTTCGCAAAGGCCATGAAGCGTCAGAAACCAATGCATCCTGCGCCGGCACCACCAAAAACAAATTTCAACCAAATTGCTCCCCCGACCCCTCCACCGGTGCCAATGCCGCGCGCTTTTCCATCGAAACCGAGTGTACCTCCTCCGCCCCCTCCCACTGGGATTCCCTCTCGTCCCAGGGTTCCTCCACCGCCACCACCATCGCGAGTCCCTGTGAGTGGGAGTAGAGTTGGTGGTGGTGCAGTCCCGCCTGCGCCACCGCCACCACCACCACTTCCTCCCCCGGCCCCTTCCGGACCGACAACCGTTTCCTCTGGTGGTGGCGGTGGTGCATTGAAACCCACCACCGTCATTCCTTTGTCAATCACGGACGAGATTAAGTCTTTCAATAAAGGAAAACTTAAAACCGTGAGTTTTTAACTAATTTTGAGGTGCTACTTAAATTATCATAAGCGTATATGATATAGGTGGGTTCTCTCACCTCTTGCTTCCTTGATTTGCAATTGCCAAGAGTGAGACTTAAGCATGGTCAGGCTGGAACGCTTAGCCGAATTCCTGTGTTACTTCTAAATCCCTCAAAATATTGCATTGCTTTTTTTTCTTCGCGGAGATTCCTTTACCTCTATCATGACGGTACACCCTTGGATTGCCACTACATTAAATCAAGCTAAAGCAAATCTGCTGCACAATTGTGTTCGAATGGGACCTAACAAAAAAGATAGCTGTGATTTGCAACCGCGTTTGGTTTTTCTTGTCCCTTATTATTAAGGATATTTACCTTTCAAGACAGATTGACATCGATTTTGGCACCGCTTGCTATGGGATGAAATTAGCCACATAGCAGATGTCTTGGCGATATATCAAAATGAGTTCTACTGGAATTCCAGTTAAATGGCTTAGTATATAATGCGCTGTCACTTTGAGGCAGCAGGATCGTAAATTGGAAATGCAGTTGACATTATCTACGACGTTGTGGTCGCGAAATTGAAATGGCCAAACAAGTATTTAGATGTGCTTCAGGTGCATAGTTTAATGGTACTGTACAAACTGGTAGGCAGGGTTGTCTGGACAACTCCAGCTGAATGTCATTTACCTGGTCCCCTTGAGTCACTGCATGTCAGACTTGTATAAACATTGTCAGGAGGCATACTCGACATTTGTCGGCCAGCAATGCAGAAGTCTGTTGGTGAAACGGGGCACGAAGGTAGAATTGTGGTGAAATGATATCTTGGCAGTTTCTAGGATGTGGCAATCTTGTCGTGATTGTAAGTTGTGTTGGTGAGTGGTTATGATGTAGACGTAGGATTTCAAAGTCCAGGGTAAAGTCCCCACGTGACCGACTTCTTTTCATGCGTTGGGTGCAAAACTTTGTCACTACGCATTCACTAGTCAATCATACTTCGCTCTCTCGACAAACTGTATTCTTTACTATTCCCAATTGTCTGGTTATATACTTTTAATGGAGAATAAATTACCAATGCTTAGAATTTTTAAGAAAGCCCTGTCGAACGTGAGACGACTGATTGGAGTAAGCTAGGACATCTCATTGTTGAGTTTCATATGTCTCCCTTGATGAGACGCCTCGTGGAAGAAAACAGGAAGTCCTGTCGCAGCTTTTGAAGCTATCGATGGAAGATTTGGTCTAATTCTCGTCAATACCGTTGCTTCAGCAAAGCGGATTACGAATCTTATAGGGTATGCTCTTAGCTTAGTGGTGGTTCTGGGGGTCGGTGCATTACTGTCATCCCTAACACCAGTGACTACACCCTTAACTTAATTTTCGAGGAGTGTTGTTCGAGCAGCTGTCAATGAGCTTGAAATGGTCTGCACTGTTTCACTTTTCCAGGCTGAGACGGAGGCAGAGTCATCGCCACTTCCATCAGCGAACAACAATCGAGGCAATTTGGAGGCGTCATTGAGTGACGCGTTGAATAAACTACTCTCACAGCGACGACAATATCTTTCGGAAGATGAGGATGATGACTCGGATTCCTTCTAACAACATCCACCACTTCTTCCTCTCGCCTGCTCACCCCTCCCATAACTTTTGCTCATTGTGACATTTCTTCCATGTGTGTATGTGCCTTATCTACCCTAGTTTGGGGCAGAGGAATCATCTATGCTTTGTCTAAATTCGCCTACTTCAATAGAGAGATTGTGATCTAATGGATTGGTTTTGCTGTCTAGATAAATATGTAAGCCTGATGCTAAGGAGAAGTCAAGTTTGTCAGAACAAATTAATGCGTTTGACGGTCAAAATTTGGTCATTTTTCGCCTTTTTCCTCTGCCAGAATTTGTCTACGCCAAATCATTTCATCTTTTCATACATCTACTGTCGGTTTACAATTTTTGAATAAAAGATTTTACAAATTGCAGCCATTCAACGGTTCGGGTTCAGTTGAAGTGTTTGAGGTTTTTTGGCTTTGTAACCAGTCATGTTTTACTGTTTTCTAATCAGTAGCAGTATGGTTTCCCCCAAAATAGTTTCGTTGAATTAAAGTTGGTTGCAGACACTTGTCAGGAATATGTAATTATTTGGCGCTTTTTTCTCTCAGATTTATTTTTCACTGCTGTGGAGGGATGACACCGACGTTTATAATTGCCTCTACAAATTGCTGTTTGAGACATCCTTGGAAATGTAAACGGGATCGGTAGTGGCTTTATTTTTTAAACACCTTTGAAACGAGACCTTGCTACTAATTCTTCGTTGACTGCAGAACCGCTATATTGATAAATTTTTCTATAATGCATCTTAAATTACCATCATTATTTCATATGGTCCAGTTAAGGCGCAAAACCCTAATAAATTGCGAGCAAGTTCTTCCGATTAAAGCGTCAGGAATGCTGTTTAACAATTAAAGGAGATTTGGTAATTTGACTGAAGAAATTATGAAACCGCAGCACTGCGCACTGAGAGATCCATTTCAGTCCAAAGACAACAAGAATTATTTATGTGCAAGCTATACGGCTGCAAAGCGATATTTTGAAATCATTAATACTTTTCCGGGGCTTAAATTGCATGGAACTAATTTGTTTTCTCACCAAATTATGTAAACATTGGTGATAAGCGATAATAGATCCCCAAAAACTTCCTGCCAAATCGCAAAATGGTGCTGTTGCTTATTTAAATGTCCCCAGGACAAACATTCACGGTTACACCCAATTGTGGCGATTTCACTTAGGTGTGGAGAATTGGTTGCAGTTGAAGAGAATCAAATGGCCTTCCATTTCAAGAGGAGTTTCCCACCACAAATAATGCAGTCTACTCACTTCAGTATCTATTCGAAAAATCGCAATCTTGGTTCATTTTACTGGAGTCTAATCACAATTTATCCGTTTAACAGATTAAAAAGGGGAAGCATACCTTCTGAATGTTTAGCGTTATAGTTTGGGTGTAGTGTTGCGTAGTGGGAAGCGTTTACAATGTATCCAGGTTGTCGTTGTAGCGTTTATGCTACAAGCGTCACGCATATGTGCCAGCTGTTTCCTATCCACTTTATCCCTTTGATTCCATTAAATCATGCTTAAAACACAACATCTATTACAAATTTTAACCCGATTTAAGCAACAGATTTTAGTAATTTTGAGTTGAGGAAATATAATTTTATCTATCGAGTAAGACTTTGATGTTGGTTAAAATCCAACTGGATTTCATCGGTGCGACGAATCTGTTGTAGTCCAAAATCATTTTCATTTACTTTCTCCGTTTACTCTCCGTACCCAGCCTTTTGGAAGGCTCACAGCTCCGCACATGGAGGCTTAACTTCTTAATTAGGCCTACGTGATTGGTCCAGATCGCCGATGAGGTGAGTATATCAGCGACCATGCAGTGGATGGTAAGCCACTAGTCCACGGAGAGTGGTAGAGCCAAGTGGTTATGTGCCATGGAGAATCAAGTGTCCAATAACGATCCATGCAAATTCAATGGAAAGACTCCATTTTGTAAGTCAATCTTATATTTACTAGTAAGGCTGTTATGGCTGATATTTAAAAAATCAAATCTTGCTCAAACTTTATTTGATCTTGTTATAAATAGAGTGGGAAACTGATGGTAGACACTTATGACGGCTGTTAGCTCCCATTAAGTGTAAACATTTAGTAAATTTCGTTATAGGGGTTACTCTCTACCCCGATGATGTTGTGGGTATGGGGATGAATGTCAGAGCTGGGAGACAGGTAAAATGTGTGGCTTGAAAAGAGACTAAATAGTAGGCGACTCCTAATGCGCTACGTATTATGATGCTTTAACCCTCCAAACTAAATAGTTAAATACTTTGCCATGAAGGTAACCTACATGCAAGAAGGCGTTTATTCACAAGTGATGCCATTAAGCAATCCCGAAAATTGAAAATCACCATGAACCCGCTCTTCTTTGCACCAGAATGGCACAGATTTCTGTACCACTGTAGCAAATGGCGAATGGTAGGAATATGGACCCGATTGAAGCTTTGATAAAGGTGTGTGTCAGTAAAGAAAAAAAACTAGGCTCACTTCTTGACTTTTACCAAACTCTTTTTTATCTAAAAATGAATAGCATGCACACTTGGTTATTAATGCAAAAGTAAATTTGTACATCAACAGCTGGACGTGAAATGGCAAGTAATTACTTCTCAGAAATGCAAGCCTCCTGCAAAGCAGCCGTTGACAAAACAGTGAATTACCTGAAGGGAGTGGAGCTGTATCGACCTTTTCCCATCGTCCGACCGGGATTCCTTGTACACCAGCTTCCAGCAGATCCACCCCAAGAAGGCGTCAAGATGGAGACCATCTTAGAGGATGTGGATAGACTGCTTCTACCCGGCGTAAACGATTTGCTCTTCTTTATTATAATACCTATTAGGTTTAAATTTTGAAACTATTTACGCTGTCATTGATCAGGTCAATATCCATTGCGATTTTAGGAAGTGGACTCGTACAGTTTCCATGGCACAAATTTATTCAAACAAATATTCCTTTTCCGGGTTAAGCACCCTGAAGTGTATGAGAATGCCTATAATTGCCAAACCTTTGTACAAGCTGCGTTGATCACTTTTACTCAATTAAAATAAGGAAAAATGACTTCCGATAAATTTAAGTATTATTTTTACCACAATAACCGTGAACACCGCACCTAGATGTATTTGTGAGCAAATCACTGCTCACTTTCAGTTTAAGATAAGACTGATTATTAAAACTGTATGATTTTAACAAGGTAACCCATTGGAACCACCCACACTTCCATGCCTACTTTGCAATGGCAAATTCGTATCCAGCTGTGTGCGCTGATATCATCAGCAGTGCCATCGGAGGAATCGGTTTTACGTGGGTCCGTATTTTGTACTTATCAGTTTTTCACTACTTTTGCTCAGCTTGCAATGTTCAATGGGCTAAGGCCAACATCACTATTCTCGTTACCGCTTTTCCAATAAAGGGAACCGTGCAAAAAATGGTCCAAAGTCAGTTGCCAACTCTAATTTACAACCTATACTTTTGAGAGAAGTTAGCTGAAGGTGTTGTTTTAAATATAAAAAAAAGTCTTTACTACGGTGTCAGTGGAAACATCATCGAGGTCTTGCTGAAGTTAACCACATACAAGTCGATCCCTTTTCTACATGCATAAGTCGTGCTAAAGGAAATCTTTAGCTTACTTTTTATAAGGGATAAAACGAGAGGAGGAGTAAATGCTTCCCTCGTAGCGTATTATGCAATGTCTGGGTAGCTAGCATAAAAGCCGTCTTAAAAGGTTGAATTGACATCCGAAAAACTGGACGCAAATGCTACCAGAGAGAAGGAGAAAAGAGGAATTGCTCACCTTTAGTGGTTACTCTCTCAGCACGGAGCTTAATTTTCCCCTCATACAGTCATTTCCGAGAAAATTATAGAGTTTAAAGTAGGAGTACTGACGAGACAGCTCTAGAGGGATCCAAACGACTAGCTCCACCCAGCCACAATCCAGAGGAGTGAGCAATTTAAAGCCTGCAATGCATTTATCAAACCAAAGGTAAAACGGGTGATTTGGTTGTAAAAAAGCCGAATGTGTACATTTGAGCAGTGCACTTCTCTATGGTCCACTATGTCCAAATTTAAGTTATTTGTGGCCGTGGAAAGTTTTGATCTCTCTTTTTATTGTTTACAGAAAACAATGCCAATGTATGACTGAATTACCTTCTTCTTATTTAGGCTTCTTCCCCAGTGAGTACGGAACTTGAGGTGGTTATGACCAATTGGCTGGTTAAGATGCTCGGCCTTCCGGATTTCTACCTTCACAACGTCAGTGGTGGAGGTGGTGTTATTGGGGTAATTACCCCTCCTTATTTCTACAATCAATGCCTAACTACAACCGCTTTTGAA